ACAGACTGCCAGATTCAGGAAAGCATTACCATGTAGAAGTGGCCTAGAGAATCCCAGTACTTAGGTTTACTGCCGGGAACAACCTGTTTGTGGTATTTTCCCAGAGCCCCGCCAGCACCACTCCTCCGATTGAGATCAGCTCCTCTCGTCTGACCAAGTTGACCCGCCGAACTACTGACAGGAAGAGCGAGTTCCTGAAGACTCTGAAGGATGACCGGAATGGAGACTTCTCAGAGAGCAGAGAGTGTGAGAAGTTGGAAGATGTAAGACTGTGGGTTCTTCTGGGGCAACATAAGTGTTTTTCTGCATTATATATGTACTTTTCGTTTTTAAGAGAGAAAGATATGGCACATTTTTTTTTTTTTTTTTTTTTAAGTACAGAGATTTGGCTATAGGAGTAACAGCTTGTGATAAAAGTGAGCTCAGTTCTTTGTTCAGCATATTTCAGATTACGGCTCATTTCAATGATAGTGGCCTTGGGACTTGGTGCTCTTAAACAGGGCAGCACTGCTTGAGTCTTGAATTGGTCATTGCTGTAAGAAGTTGGTAAACTATGGAAGCTTTTTTTTTTTTTTTTTTAAGGATTATATTTAACTGTAATGGAAGAAAATCTGACAAACAGAACCATAAAACGAGGGTTTTCGTTTTTGTATCTTGCAGCAGGTTCCTAGTCCCAAGAGGTAACAGCATCTGTAGTATCAGGAAACTTCTAACTTTTGGTTACTTTGGACTAGGGTACTTGTGTTCCCATCCACTTTCTAGTTACGGAAAGGACAGAGCCAAAAACCAGAAGAGGGATGTCCTTTTTAAAATGCTTTCTTAAAAGCCACCCCTGCAATTTCCACTCACATTTTAAGTGGGCAGCTGTCAAATTGTCACTCCTAGCTTCGAAGAAGTTTAGGAAAGGGAACTTTTTAAAAACTTAGCACATTGGTTCCTTAGTCCAAATCGGTAAGGAAGAATAGAAAATCGATACTGCATAGGCAGCTAGTAACTTCTGCCACAGTTGACCTAGCCTGAAGGTAAGATGGTAGCCAGTTGGTATACTTTGGAAATCTTGGCAAGATGAGCAAGTTCTCATTTTTAAGTGGGGAAAACCTGTGGGCCAAGGTAGAAAGCATCTCCTTAATCTCTTAAGATTACTTACCTTGCTGCAATAGATTATTAAACTAAACATGTCCTTCCTTTCCTTCCTGTCCTCCAGTCGGAGGACAACAGCACACCTGAACCAAAGGAAAATGGAGAGGAAGGCTGTCATCAGAATGGTCTTGCTCTCCCTGTAGAAGAGGAAGGGGAGGCCCTCTCTCACTCTTTGGAAGCAGAGCACAGGTGAGAAAAGATCAGATACACAGGGCTGTGTATGAGCTACAAGGAGTTTGAACGTACTTAAGACAGCTCCACTTCCAGTATAGAGAGAAGTGCCCACAGCAGCACAGCTTGTTCTCTTGTGGGCCACAGGTTGGCCTGTTGCCCACTGGGTGTAGTCCTTTATAGATTCAACCAGCTTTCCACATGCTTCTCTCCAAAGGCTTTCTTGTAGTTCAGTTTCAGGCTCCATTTATGGCTTAGGTGGGAAGGGTTGGAGTGGGTGAGACCTGTTTCCTAGAGCTGTTATGGTGGCCCCTTTGGCCTCTCTCGAGATTTATGAGGCCTCTTCTTTAAATGAGGGCCTTGAACACAGAGCCGAGGTGTCCGGCCAACTGGATGGCAGATGGGACCTGCCAGGTACCTTCCTGAAAAGGAGCTCCTGTCCAGAGGAACTTAAAAAGGGGTAAACAGGATCACAAGGTTATGGGGTTCACAATGCCATGAAATTAAGAGCACTCAGAGCATCTTGCCTGGCGATCCAGTGGTTAATTATCCATGCTTCCACTGCAGGGGCATGGCTTCCATTCCTAGTCAGGGAAGTAAGGTCCCACATGCTGTGTTGTGCAGTCAAGAAAAATAAATAAGAACTTAGGTACATGTGGCTATGTGCTGATTTGCTCACAGGAGACAGTGAGATTTCTTTGGTTTTGTCTATGGGACAGTTTGACTCTTTTCTTTATTCTGCTGCTTCTACATAAGAGTTCTCTATAACTCTTATGCTCTGGAAAGAGCAACTGTGTATTGATTTTGTATCCTGCAACTTTGCTAAATTCATAGATTATCTCTAGTAATTTTCTGATATTATCTTATACAGTATCATGTCATCTGCAGACAGTGAAAGCTTTACTTCTTCTTTTCCCATCTGAATTTCTTTCATTTCTTTTTCTCCTCTGATTGCTGTAGCTGGGACTTCCAAAACTATGTTGAATAATAGTGGTGAAAGTGGACACCCTTGTCTTGTTCCTGGGCTTAGGGGGAATGCTTTCAGTTTTTCACCATTGAGAATGTTTGCTGTAGGCTTAACTGATATGGCCTTTACTGTATTGAGGTAGGTTCCTTCTATGCCCATTTTTTGAAGAGTTTTAATCATAAATAGGTGCTGAATTTGTCAAAGGCCTCTTCTGCATCTATTGAGATTGGAAAGAGCAATTGTGGAGATCCACCATCTAATTCCAAGCACCTAAGTAGTCATAATTAAAGATTATCCTACTGGGTATAAAGAATAAAACCCACATTTCTTCTCTAAGCGGATACCATTGTCCCTGGACAGGAAAGTTTCTGTGGAAAGTTAAGGGCTTCCCTCCCACTTAAAGCTGTATTTTCTTTGCCTGACCTGCTTCTACTAGGTTACTGAAAGCAATGGGATGGCAGGAGTATCCTGAAAATGACGAAAATTGTCTTCCCCTCACAGAGGATGAGCTCAGAGAGTTCCACATGAAGACAGAGCAGGTATGTGGTAAACTTTGCTGGAGACCAGTTAATGAGTAAGACAAAAAAGTGCTAGGACAGTCATTGCCCTTGGGAAGTCCCAGTTTTGGGTGTGAGAAGGATCTTGAGAAAGAAAACAGTAAGTTGCCATTGTAGAAACACAGAGGAGCATCCCAGGCCATAACGATCTCCAGTGGTGGACACAGAAACCAAATCAGTGGTTAGCAGATTACAGAAAGCAATATGTTATTTCATCCTGGAAGCTCTAACTCCTCATCAGAGTCACAAGGCTATGTTCCAAGGTTATGGGCTGAGCCCTTGGTCCCTGGGGAAGCAGGCTATGCTTGCACCCCTGTGGATTCCGTCTGGTACCGCAACCAGAGCCAAGAAACCAAATAGTCTCTCTGAATTTCTTCCAACAAATGCCTGGATTCTTTCTCTGAATAAAACACCGCCAGGTCCCTACAAACCTCATGGAACTTAAGTTCTGGTGGTATGTATTTAAAGCATAAATAACAGTGATGTTAAATCCTATAAAGAAAAGTATAGGCTGACATAAAGACTTCAGTACTCAGAACTCTGTTCCCCTATCATTGTCATCACCTGAGAACTTGTGGAAATAAGAAATCTTGAACCCTACCTCAAACATACTGAATCAGTCTGCATTTTAAAGAAATCCTTAGGTGATTCATTTGCACATTACAGTTGAAAAAGCACTGCTATAAGAAATCTTCAGTTTCTTAGAAGAAAGAACATTCTTAGAACTTTCTGGCTAAAATTGAGCTGAAGCCTGGTCTTTCCCAACTTCCCTGATGGCTCGGGAGTAAAGAATCTGCCTGGAACACACAAAACCTGGTTTTGATTCCTGGGTCAGGAAGATCCCCTGGAGAAGGGAATGGCAACCCACTCCAGTATTGTTGCCTGGGAAATTCCATGGACAGAGGAGCCAGGTGGGCTACAGTCCATGGGGTTGCAGAGTCGACTGAGCAACTAACACTTTGGCTTTCTGGCCTTTACCAGGCCCCATGGGCCAGTGTAGTGACTGATGATTGTCTTTTTCTTTTTTTCCCATGCCAACCACAGCTGAGAAGAAATGGCTTTGGAAAGAATGGCTTCTTGCAGAGTCGAAGTTCCAGCCTATTCTCCCCTTGGAGAAGCACTTGCAGAGCAGAGTTTGAGGACTCAGACACGGAGACAAGCAGCAGTGAGACATCTGATGACGATGCCTGGAAGTAGGCGTATAAATGCTCACAGTTAAATCTGACCCAGTAAACTCAGCGTGTGTGTTTAGGGGTTATACAGAAGAAATCGTTCTTTTCCTTTTCCTTTTCTTATGTTATTGTTGAATACTTCATGCACAAGGGAAATAATCATATCCCAAAGAGAGAGCGAGCGATTGGCTTGTTTAGCTTTTGTTGTTGTTCTTCCCTGTTATCTGCTTAATAGAGAGAACTTTGTGTGGTGGGAAAGATTTTTAAAACACACATACACACAGTATATATGGGGCGATGCACAGGTGGGAGCTGGCAGTGCAGAGAGGAGGAGACACTGGTCTGCAGCAACAGCTTCTACTACCAGCCCTTGGGGCACTCACCCCTGTGCTCAAGCAATCACTGTCAATGACAAAGTGACTATTGAAGTTATAATTGTATTAAATTAATGCTAATAATTTGGATATTTTATTTTATTTCTGGCTGCTCGGGTAACGTTAGCCCTTAACCAAGCATATGTGGTTTTTTCCCTTTTTTTTTTTTTCTTTCTGGGTACAGCTGTAAAATATTTGGATATAGGAAATGTTGTGTTATTCTTGCAGCCTTGATATTCAGGGTGGATTGTAAAATATAAATTTTTGTGAGATTTCAAAGATTAAGATTATTTTGATAACATTATTTACAGATTTAAAAGATGTGGTTATCACAAGTCTGTTGAGGGGAAAACTACTGCATAAAATAACTAACTTGGAATAAATATTTTGCATCAGTTTGGATTGTCTTGTGTAAGAAGTATATTTTCTTTAAAATTAAATGAGTGGATTTAGAGGTCTGAGGAAAATCCGAATTCAGACACACCTGTTTCTCCTTTTAGCAGATACATTTTTGATGCAGAAAAACCTGTGCAATATACTACCAGTAATAAAACCAGAAACCCAAATTTCCTTTCTGACACTGTTTCTCACTGCCCATGTATTTGCCAGTGTGCCTATTTGAAGGAACTCTGTGCCTCAATATTCCTGTTAAATAAGAATATAGGGAGGGTGTCCCAGGCATTGTGCAAGGCCCTGGGAATGCAAGGAGCACCCAACTTAATAGGGAAGAGAAGAAACAGTTACATTAAAAATGGAATCTTAGGCCAAGATCTGATGGACAATTAGAAGCGAACAGATCACTGATAGTGGCATTCTTTGACCAGCTGTCTTATCTCGTGGTCCGTAGTGGATATAGCAGCCCAAGATTATACTCTAATGGGAGACAACAAGCCAAGGGGTAACAGGCCCAACCACTAGTTAGGATCACTGTCTTACAGTGTAGATTTCAGAAGGAGTAGAGACTAGAGGAAGAGAAACCACCATGGTGCTTGGTAGATTCTAAAGGAGAGGGAGGCAGAGTACTAATAAGAAAACTTGGGACTCCTTGGTGATCTAGTGGGTAAGACACCACGGTGCCAGTGTAGGAGGCAAGGGTTCAGCTCCTTATCGGGAAACTAGGATCCCATGTGCCATGTGGGGGGTCGAGAGAGAGAAATTAATAGAGGAAGGAAGGAAAAGAAAAAACTTGACAGTTATGACACTATATTAATTACAAACCTTGATTTTAGTATTAAAATATGAAAAAGTGTGCATCTTAGGATCAATGAAATACTATCAAATGAACTATAAATTGGAAATGAGAAGTAGGTTGAGTTAGACATATCCTGTATATTTGGTCTTGGGCTTTGCCACTTAACTAGCGGTCTGAGAACAAATTTCTAAAATGTAGCCCTTTTCTCACTTTAAATTGAGCTGGACTTTAATTACATACTTTGAAACACTTTGTAACCTGCTGCTCCTCATACCTTGGCCTTAAGCACCTGGGGGCAGGGTAACCACTACCTGCTTGTTTAGAAACATGGAGCTAGGTCAGAGCTCCTGTTTCTGTTGGATTTATCTACTTGGGGAGCTGGCAGGGAGATCTGGTCAGCAAGAATGGGGCCTGTGTGGGCCCCAGTCTCGAGTGAAGGGGTACCTTTCTATATTTGATTTCCTTTTCTGATGGATTGTGTTCTCCCAGAACCTTTTCTGGGCTGTGCAGATTATCTTGATGGGGGCGGGGGGGACGGGGATTGGGCATTGGGGAGCCTTGGTGTGACTTGGTTATGCAAAAGATGTTACCTCCAGAGAGGCATGGTAGATGGAAATGCATGTTACTCAACCAGCAAATCATGGGTTTCCAGGCACAATCCCTTCTCAAGTATTCCCTGGATGGACAATGACATGTAACTTGGGATACATCCACTTGGGCAAAACTAGAAGAAAATGACACTTTTCTGCCAGAGGCTATTAAATGACCAAGATGGAGTTACATGATATGGACTCAGCTATTCCAGGAGGCAGCTGTTTGCTCCCCTTTATTAATGTAGGCAGAAAAACCAAGGTGTGGTGGTTAAGAGACTTGCCTATACTCATACAATGAGGTGCAACAATGTTTTAACAGTGTTTCTCAAGCCAGGGACTCCTCCCTAAGGTGACTAAGCCTTCCCACTCATTCTCCAGACCTGCCCACACCTGATGTGGTTGCCCAGGGAGCTAAAGCTTCTCCCCAAACAAACTTGAACAGGTAAACGTGGTCTTTCCTCTCTGCCTTTGGCTATTTCATCCTCCTCTCTCTTTCCCTCTACCCCTCTGTCCTGTTTTCTCCAGGTCTTGGCTGGCGTCAGGAAAGGGGTCCCCTCCCATGGCCTCCCACTCCAGGGAGCCAGGGCCCCTGCCCTGCGGGTCCTGTGACATGGTTTTCCGCTCCTGGCCCCTGCTGGCCACCCACGCTCGGCACTTCTGCATCGGCGGTCAGACCCGGGAGGTGACAGTTGGAGCACAGCCCCCAGTAGCCACCGAACCACGGGTACCCGGGGAAAGGGCCTCCATGGTCACGAGTGGGTATTGGTGACTAACTTTCAGCATTGCTCACCCCACACCCCGTCCGCAGGTTGTGCCACAAAAACACCAGGGCCTCCCGGACCAGGAGGCCAGCAAATCAGCTCTGAAGAGGCTAACAGAGGAGGTACACCTGGCTTTCCCCACGGGCTCAAAACAGCATTCCCCCCCCCCCCCAAACTTAGAGATCACGCGTGGGTCAGATTACTCCAACAGAGGCTGCCGGTAACTGTTACCTCCAGGTGCAGCGGCTGCGGCTGTATCTGCAGAAAATGAGACCCTGGATAACAGAAGTCCCCAGGGGGCCACCGGGGCCCTGGATGTGTTCAGAGGTGACGCCTCAGAGCGCCTACTCCAAGGCTGCTGGCAGCCTGGGCGAGCAGCTGCTGGCGCTGCACTGGACTCGCGCAAGGCGCGTGGCAGAGACCGCGGCGCAGAGCTGGGCCCTAGAGCAACGCAGCGAGGGTGAGGGGACAGAGGGGGGCTAGGGCCCACCTTTCCCGCTTGGCCTGAGGTCGCCCGACGGGAGACCGCCTGACTCAATCTCTTACCCCCTCAGAACTGAGCCGGCGCCTCCAAGGTTTGGCCCGGACCGGGAAATCGCGTATATTCAGTCTGGAGCGGGAGCTTCGAGAACTCCGGGCAGAGACAGGGCGAACGCGGGGAGCTGTGGAGGAGTTAAGGGCGCACGTTCAGCAGCTCCAGGCCAACCCGGTGTAAGCAGGGTGCGTGGGAACCCGGGAGAGCCGCGCCTGCGCGGGGCGGGGCTTGGGCGGGGAGGGGGCCCTGCCTGTAGGCCGCGCGGGAGCGTCGGGAAGGGGCGGGGCTACCGGAGACCCGCGTCTTGGTCTCTAAGCGGTCCCAGCGCCGCCGGCCCCCACCTCAGCACCCGGCTGAACACCTTGAGAGAAGCAGAACTCTGTGGTCCGGTGCTACAGGCCACCCCAGGGACTCTGCCTGCGGAGATCGGGTGAGGTCCGGGCCCGGGAACGGGTGAGGTCCGGGCCCGGGGACGGGTGATAAGTTCTGGTAAAACGCTGCTGCCTTCTTGTCCCGTACTCCCTAGGGCCCTGCGTGAGGCCTACATTCGAGGCGGGGGCCGGGACCCCGGCGTTCTGGGCTGGATGTGGCAGCTGCAAGCGGAGGCATCAGCTCTGGAACTTCGGCGGTCGCGGACCTGCAGGGGTGAACAGGAGCAGGCCAGCCAGGAGACCTCTCTGGAAAGAGGAAAGGGCGGTGAGGGACGACGCCTTTGGCTTGAGAACCACTTAAGTAACAGTCCGAAGTAGAACACTTGTCTTTGTGGTGGTGGCAAGATTGTTAGCCGACAAGTCGGCCGTGTTCAGAGAGTACCAAGGCTGGAGAGCTGCTCAGAGCAGCTGGTCACCAGAGATAAGAGGTGACAGGTCACATTTGTTCAATCTCAGGAGGACGGGCAGGTGCTGCATTCAAGGAGCTTCTAGCAGTGGAGGCTGAAAACCGGCGCCTGGAAGCAGAAATCCTGGCTTTGCAAATGCAGAGGGGCGCAGGCCAGATGCCCTGGGGTCAGTGAGCACCCAGTTCCACCCAGGGCCTGCCTAGCCCTCCCCAGAAGGCCAGGCTCAGAGAAAGGGGTTAGAGGAACCATGCACGGGGAATGCGACCCGTGTCTGCGCCCCATCAGTCCGTGTCCACGCTCATCTCCAGGTGTCCGTATGGGTTTGGCTCTTGGGGATGAGGTATCTCAGCCCAACTACTTGCTGCGTCCTGCTCAAGGGCCCCGGCTCTTCCCTGTACCTAGGGTGCGGGCAGCCGAGACTTGCGGCCAATCCGAGCCCACGCCTGAGGAGGGAAGATCTCCTCCCGCCTCCAGTGGCTCCCCGGCTGCCGTCCTCCACCGGAGTCCTGTTCTTGGGTGGCGCTGAGAAGGCTGTGAGGACCGGGAGTTGGGATGGGGGCAGTTCTGCTCTGTGCAGCTGGGGGAGCCCAGGGAGCATAGTGTCTGCCTGGGAGGCTTTCTGGAAGAATTAACTCTACTCCCGGTGCAGTCGCAGCTTCCTGGAGCCATGACCAGAAACCTGGCCGGGGATCCAAACTACCTCCTACCCTCTATTGACGTCCTGGGCCCTGCACCCTACGACCCCGGGTGAGGCCTGCTCCCTCCTTCGACATCCTCTGTGACTTAGTCACTGCTGCTAGTTAAGGAGACCCACTCAGGCCAGCTAGGATGGGGGAACTGCCTGAGGGGTGGGAGGGTGAAAGACTGGGGTGTGCGTTTTTGAGACCTGTGTTTCCTAGGGCTGGCCTTGTCATTTTCTATGACTTCCTGCGGGGCCTTGAGGCTTCTTGGGTTTGGGTGCAACTAATGACTGGCTTGGCCCAAGATGGACAGGAGTCAGGAGGGACCACTGCACTGCCCCCAGCCCTTTGCTTGCCCCCACCTCCAGCTCCCGGGCCCACCGGCAACTGTGCCATCCTTGCCAGCAAGCAGCCTGTACCCAGGTCAGTCCATGGGGATTATTTCCTTGGTGCTTTTTGCCACAGTTGAAACTTGTCTCTCATTCTGCTATATTTTCTCATCTGTATACAAGGACTCTGGCTCTGAGGGCCAAGTCCTAGGAAGGGAACATAACCACTTCTGACTCCTGACACATTTTTGGTTTTGCTCTAGACTACCACCCTCACCATCAGTAGCCTTGATCTGTGAGCTCCAGGCCTGGCAGGGGCTAGCATGGGCTAAGGCACCACAGCCAAAGGCCTGGGCCTCACTAGCGCTATTTGACAAGAATCAGAGGTTGCTAAGTGGTTGTTGGCGTCTCCCACTTCGGGCCCTCCCTCTGGACCCCAGCCTTAGCCCTGAGCAGCTGAACGGGATTCCCCAGGTGAGTGTGGAGGATAGGGGCTGGGTCTGCTCCTCCACATTACAAATGCAAGACCATTTCACCTTTCCCCAGGTTAATCAAGCCGAGCTCTTTGTGAGACTGGTGAATGCAAGAGATGCAGGTGTCCAGGCCCTGGTAGAGGTCAATCCAGCAAATGCCCATGAGTACCAGTACCCACCTCTGGTGAGGGCCCAACTAGAGTGGGGACACCACAGGTGTAGTTGATGTGGTTAATAACCAGCCTTTGTTGACTACTATGTACTTACCAAGCCATTACTAAGTGTTTTCTGTGAATGAACTCACATGACTCACATATCCTATTAGGTCCATACTACTGTGTCAACAGATAAGGAAATGAGAGCACAATGTTAACCTGGTTCACAGTAAGCAGTTAATTAAGGTGGTGTGACACCAGACGCTGTGCAAACCTCTATACAAACCGATTGCTACAGATCTACCCTCTCCTTGTTCCACAGGTACCCAACTCATCTTCACCGGAAGCCAGCCCCCTCGCCCCATCAACTGCCTTTGTTGACCCCCCTCCTCCTGAAGATGCCTGAACCAGCAGACTCAGGCATAAAGAGGGTTTGGGCCCTCCCCACAGCTTTGACCCACCCCCACTGGCTCTGAGTCCAGAAGAAGAATGGGGGTATGGGGCCTAGACTGAGGCCTCTTCTGGGATCTGCAGCTTTACTAATTCCATGTTCTGACAAGTCTGGAAACAAATAGAGATGTGAGCAACATAACATGCGCTCCAATGCCATCTTTAACTTCCACAAGCACTTGGCCCTTCTTTATTATCCTTTTGTTAAAAAAGATTGATGTGAGGATTAAATACATCAAGCGTACAGTATTGTCTAGCATATAAATTCTTTGAAAGGTGACTTGGAGACAGTCTGTCATTCAGCTAAAGGAACTCTATGAGCTCCTGCCCATGTGTTTTTTTTTTGTTTTTTTTTTTTGCTAAAGCCAGTCTTACTGCCCACTTATTTATCCCAGCTTCTTCACATCCTCGAGGAAGTCTTCCAGATTCTCAAGGTCTCCATAAAACAGGGAGCTTCTGTAGCCTATCTACTTAAAACAACCCAGTCATGTGCCCCCCCCCCAAGTTGGCAGGGGGGGCTCATCAGAGGTGAAATCCAGCTGCTATTACATTGGGCCTGGCCCCAGACCCCAGTGTCAGCAAAATCAAAGGCTTGATAATTAAGAGCTGCCTTTGCCTCCAACACTGATGTTCAAACTCCAGGTTCTAACCTGCTATCTGCCCAGTGCAGCAAAGTAGCCCTGTGAGTGTTGGAATTATCAAACCCCCTTAGGTAGTAGAGGGCTGACACTGTTTGGAATTCAGATCCTGCCTGGTATAAAGCAGTTTCTTAAAGGTCAGCTCAGAGGCAGCCAAGTCACAGATCTTACACTGGCTCTGCACCCTGGACATGAGCAAGTGCCCAATGGGATGGCTTTAGTACCAGTGGCCTAATAAGCACCAGCACCCTTGGACTGGGCAGCCAGAATTGCTGAGCCAGTTTCCACCTTTCAGCCCCACATCCCACTGAAATGCTCCAGGTGGCCCAGGATCCCAACACAAGTCCAGAGGCCAAAAGCATTTTAGCATCTTTATTTAAGAAGTCAAAACTGTGGACAGATAACAATTCCAATTGTTGATATTTTCTGTACAGAAAAGGTTCAAATATAACAATGTAACTCAACCAGCCAGTTCGCCCCACAGATTCTTCCAACCACATCCAAAGTGACCAGTCGGACCAGCCACTTGCAAGCTCAATTTTATACAGTTAGCACAACAGTTTTCCTCAAGGATCACTCCCCCCTGCCCGCTCCCCTGCCCCAAGTTTTCTTCAGTTCTTTTTCCAGGACAGGATTATGGCCCTACTTGGAGACCAGGTGGATACCAAGGTGCCACCCAAGGCCTGGCATAGGTGTTATTAGCTCACAAAGTCCATCAAACATTACCAGCACCAAAGAACAAGATCTTCACTAAGTCTTATTTTGTAGCCCCTGTCCAGGGAGAGCACCACTCAATTTGCAAGACAGCCCAGGTTCAGAGTATTTATAATGGAAAAGATATAGCACCAATGGAAGATAAGGGCCTGCAGCCATGCTTGATTTCATCACCTCCACATTAGACAGGAATATGGATTAGAACTTCCAACAGAGATCAATACAGAGGAGGAAAAAAACACAAAAACCTTTGGCCACTGTATAAAACCCGGAGTGCTCCAAGGGGCACAGATTAAGCCAAGAAAAAAAAAATCATCAAAGCCTCAACCTTTGCTTACAATCTTTATTGAAGTTATACAAAAAGAATCCCCGAAAAGTGAAAAAATACATTATATACAAAAAACACTTTCCATTGGGAGGAAGGCTCTGCTCCCTCTCTAACATGCAGTGCTTTCAACGGTAGCTCCGGCCTCCACTGTCCCCTCCACTGCTGCCCGGCTTTCAGCTTTATTCTCAGCCTGGAAGATAAACAAGGAGCCTGGGCATAAGTGACCCTACTTTAAGCCGTTTTTTCTTACACAACTGAGTTGGCCTCAGTCAGAGGAACAACACAGGTCCCTTAAATTCTGCTTTGCTCTCTACACTAAAAGGGATCACAAGTATACAGCCATTTCCTAACCTCTCTAATAGGGCTGTGTTCTCTCTAATAGAGCCAGTGTTCATTTAGTAGAAAGAGGAGCAAGCAAAAGTGACCGAATGGTTTTGGCAGTCAAGTGTCTTCTCACACATTCATTAGAGGGGGACCTGTGCTATGTATTTGACAATGAGACATCTTACATTTCATAACCAAACTTTCCAGTACAATCATTGTTTTTATGAAAGTAACCAAATAATACAAAGATCAAGTTGGGGAACATGCATTGGTTTCCCCAGGCCCTGAGAACAAGGGAAATGAGGCAAGAGTCCAAACCCTGCTTAGCTGCCCACCTCCTCCTCCATGTTTTCGGAAACTTCAGTTCCACTGGAAATAGTGTCCCCACTGCCTCCATTCACCTCCGGCTCTTGTTTGGCTTTCTTTGCATCATCTTTCCGGGGGCTCTCTTCCTCTGGTTTCCTCTATAATGATATAATTAATTGTGAAAGCTTCACAAATGTGCTTACTGTCTTTAAAAGGACAATTATAAAACAATTTTGTAACACATGCCTCTTCCCTATGGTGCAAAGATTATGAACACCAGGATTCACAGCTCTAGGGGTCTCCCGAGTCACAGCCTGTCCTCTGGTATGCCCAAACATACCAGTTCAGCCTCTCTAAGGATGAAGAGTGAGGACAGGGATGAGGAATAGACAACAGTAACCAACCCACAAATCTGAATTTCTACAGGTGAATCAGGAAGCGAAGTAAGAGTGGAGGCTCTCTCACAAGTTTAGGGAGGTCTGCTGCTGGATGACTACTGTAAACCTGCCAGCTTCCCAAGACGGGCTGATCTGACCAGTCCTCCTCAGCAGCTTTCCTAATAGCCCCTGGGCTAAAATAAAACAGAAGGGTGTTGCTAGAAGACATATTTAATGGAGAACTAGCTTCAATTCTCACTCACTTTTGAAAAATGACTCTATATGTATATTTATTTTGGCTGCACTAGGTCCTAGTTGTGGCACTCAGGATCTGTGAACTTTAGCTGTGGCATATGGGATCCAGTTCCCTGACCAGGGATCGAACTCAGGCCCCCTACAATGTGAGCTTGGAATCTTACCCACTGAACCACCAAGGAAGTCCCCAAACAGATGTCTTATTGTACCAAGTATTAGGGATGTTTATGTGAAAGGTAATTTTCATGTATCATTTGGAGGGAGGGAAATGCAGAGTAGGAAGAATATAGAAAAGAAATGACCGCATATAGATTTACCTTCTTTCTGACAAGGTGGGAAATATCAGTAACACAATTTGATGAGGAAGCACCATCTGTTGGCTTTCTACTGGCAATCTGGGCAAAAAAGAAACCTTTGTTAGCAATGTACTGCTATATATGAAATACACACTGAGGCCTAATATTAATTGACAAAAATCACCTGAATACCCACCATGGAAACTGAAGAGCTTCCTCCACTGGGGGTGAAACCTGAAGTAGAGCTCTCCACCTATGAGAAGTGACAAACCCAAGTGGGTCCTAGGATAGAGCCCACCAGGTCACCTACCTACAAGCTACTAAGACTTCAAATACTAGTTAATGGCCTCCATATGGTAGCAACATCACCCACCCTCTCTACTCAGACCCACGGTCACACAGTAAATAGCTGAGAAAGAATTCAAACCCACCGTCTGGCTCCAGAGCATACCGTCTTAAGCACTGTATTTACTATTTGAGAGGAAATTGTATAGATTTCTCACATTCCCTCTGACATCCAACTCCCTGGAAACCAAGTCATAAGGAAGATTCCTAGCAAATGGAACACTAGTACCATGATAAAGGGCCTTCAAAAATATCCAATGTGTGACCACCAAAACTCCAAAAGGAAACCAAACAAACCAGAGTTGCTTTCAGAGCCAGTTCAGCTACATTGCCACTACGCTGGGACTCCTTTGCATCTTCTATCTTCTCTCTAATTTCAGGGAGCAGCTCCTTCAGCTCCTCAATTTCTTTCTCATATTCAGTAGGTGATCCTTCAGCCTCCTTCATCTGCTCATTTAGTACAGCTAGAAAGAAAAGGCTGAAGTGATCAGTAAGTAATAGATGACACAATGGACATGAGTTTGAGTTTAAAGAAACGAGTTTCTTAAAAAAAAAAAAAAAGAACTGTCAATACTGGATCCATCATAATTATTATGGAAACAACTGATGCACACTCACCCATTCTCTTCTCAATGACCTCAATAGATTTGCTGAACTGTGCTACTGCTTCATCATACTGAGAGTTGTACCCATAGGCCAAGCCCAGCTGGTAGTGAGTCTCTGCAAGGAGCCGATCATGGGCTTCCAGATACTGTTCCTGGAGGTTTAGGCAAGCCTGGAACTCCTCCACAGCTTGGAGGTAATTCTCTATTAAAGAGAAAAATAGCAAGCAAATGTACATTTAATATACAGAACTTCTAAAATTCCAGACCATCCTGCAGAAACATTTTCCCATGTTATAGTTCACTTTTCTTTGTAGTATCTCCAGGACCCTTGACTAAAATCCATCAAAACAACTTAAAAAACCTATTGGGAGGGAGTTCCCTGGGGAGCCAGTGATTAGGACTCTACACTCCCAATGCAAGGGGGCCATGGGTTCACCCCTAGTCAGGGAACTAAAATCCCATATGCTGCACAGTGCAGCCAAAAGAAAAAAAAACCTACTAAGAGACTTTCATTTAGAGTATCATTTAAAAGACTATTCATTGTTCTAGGAACCATAAGGAATCTAAAACACCTACTGTCCTTTCAAAACTAACTGCCCACAATTCAAGTGAGCTGGATTTTAAGGAATTAGAGGAAGGGTAAGGCAGGCGGGGAAACAGTATGTTAGAGAGTAAAACAGAAAATGTATTACCAGATTCAACACTAACTTCTCCAAGTTTAAGATGTGCCTGTGCAGCATAAAGCTGAGCCTCCTTCGTGTCTTGCCTAAAAGAAGGATAGTTAGAAACCTTAATATCTGACCAAGCCTAACTGCTTTGTTTTCAACCGCCAAACTCCCAACCTAAGCCTAAAAGCACCAAGAGTTTTAC